CAGCCCCTTATATAAGCCTAGGAGCTCCGAGTGAGATGTGTAGAGCCGGGATTGGTGGTTTGCACATCACCCCAGATGACGTCACGGGAGAGGCACAGTTTAAACGGTTAACTCCAACTGACAGCGACAGTTAACTCCAACTGACAGCGACAGTTAACTCCAACTGACAGCGACAGTTAACTCCAACTGACAGCGACAGTTAACTCCAACTGACAGTGGATGTCAGCGCCATCTTCTAACGGCAATAGCGATAGCGAGGGCGGCTCCTCACAGATGCCTCGAAGAATAGTACTGGACCGTCCCAAAAGTAGTCCGACCGTGCCTGGGGGCAATGGCCCATGCACCCCAGTAGGGAGGGCCTGGATCCCCATTTCCGGTGTTAGGATTGCCCGGGCAGAGGGAGCGAGGTCCAATCCTGCACTCCCTGAGGTGGCTCTAAGGAGGTCTGAGATATGAAGGGGTTGCTCTGGGGGAGAAAATGAGTCCTGCCACTGCCCAGAGCAGGGGTCATTGCCCCGTACACATTGGTTTTGGGGCCCTGGGGTGGGGCCCTCCTCCCGTTTCCCTGATTATTATTAGCAGAAAGGAAATTTCCCTCCCTGTCAGTTTTAGAGTAGCAGTTATTGGCCCAATGATATCCCCTTCGACAACGGGGCATAAACCAGGTCTCTTGAGACCCGTAGTACTATTTTGAGGGCACTCTCTACGGAAGTGTCCCTCCCTACCGCAGCTAAAACATGTTTTTCTCCCTCCCAGAGTAGGTCTTTCTTTCCCCACTTGGGGCCGAATAGCAGCAGCTAACACTTGGCCCTGGATGAAGTTCCCATCAATGTCCCTACAGATCCGGATATAGTCATTTAGACTTTTATTGCGATAGGGGCGAAGGGCTTCCTTACAATATTTATTTGCATTTTCAAATGCCATCTGCTTTATGACTGGCATCGCAGGCCCAATGCCCCCAAATATTCTTTCTGCTACCTGACTGAGACGGTCTACGAAGTCTTGAAAAGGTTCGGAAGGTCCTTGAAGGACTTTGGACAGATGATCCCCTCCTTCCTTGGAAGGCAATGCTTTCCAAGCCCCTTGGGCCGCTGCTGCCACTTGGGCATAGACTGCGATGTCATATTGCATTTGTTGCTGAATGGTGGCATATTGACCACTTCCTGTAAGCATCTCCACATTTCTCTGGGGCTGTCCGGCCTGTGCATTTCTTTGGGCTGTCTGGCTGCATCTTTCCTGAAACTCACCTCTCCAAATCAAATAATCTCCCCCCGACAGAGCTGCTCTGCAAAGCTGCTGCCAATCGCCAGGTGTCAAATTAAGAGACGCAAAAGATTCCATTAAGGAAAGTGTAAAGGGAGCCTGTGCTCCATAATTTAAAGTTGCCTCTTTAAGTTGTTTTATATCCTTAAAATTTAAAGGGTTATGACGCCTAATGACCTGTCCAGAATTGTTCGGATCTGGAACTTCCATTACTGGGGCCACCACCGGGCAGCATTGGACCCCTCCTCTGGGTCTTCCCTCCAGGTCTGAGAAGGACTGGGTTATCTCATAGGAGGAGTCCCTTTTTTCAGAGTATGGGGAAGGGTTTCTCTCCCTGTCCTGTCTTTCCTTAATTAGAATCTTTTTTAGTTCTTTTTAAGGGCCGCGATCTCAGCAAGTAACCGTTCCTTTTCAGACTGTGACGAGTCTGAGTCTGAGCTACTTCCATTTTCTAGGTCTGATAGAGAAGGATATAACCGATTCTGACCGGAGTCCTTCTTTTGGGTCGCGCCCGGAGATGTCTACCCGTTTTTTTGTTGTTACTAAGAGACTCCTCCTCATCCTCACTAACAATGGAGCCTCTAGTTTCAGTCACGGTCTCTTCATCATCACTCTCTGCCCCTGAACTCAAGGAGGCTTGAGTCTCAGTCTCTTGTAACTCTAAAAAAGCCTCTTTTGTGTCCTGAACTACCTGGCGGTGACGAACCTTATCTGTCAAAAGTGCTCCCCTCACTAATCTCCATAAGGAGAATGTCGTAGGGGGCAAGGACTCAGATCCCTCTTTTCGTAAAAGTCTATGAAGATCACGGCGAACCTCCTCCCAATCTGGAATATTTAAGCTTCCCCCAGTAATGAACCATGGACTGGCTCGTTCGATCGATTTTAGAAAGCCTTCTAGGGTTTTAGACTTGACTGCAGTCCCATGTTCTTTAAGTAACTTTTTTAGTTGATACTGCAATGATTCTAGCTTCCCGGAACTATTCCCCATAGTTTCTTAACCCCGTCCACTTACCTCGCTTTCACGATCTCAGTGGGACCTCCAATTGTCACGTCTGCTGCGCGGCCTGTGTCCGAGAACGTGCGGAGGGTGTCGGGTATTGAAAACACAGAGACTCGTTCAATGATATAAAGAGAACTTTAAACAGGCTCCAAAAAGGTTCAAGAAAAACTTCCTAAGAAAAGCTCCCACCAGAGAAGCTTCTGCTCTCTCCTCTCCCCTGGCTGGTTCTGCTCTGACACCAGAGGTGGATGTGTGTGGGTTTTTGAAGGTGCGGTTAGTCTTTGGACAAGGTCGAGGTCAGGGCGGTTTCCGTGGGAAGGCCTTTCCCAGGAACTTATTGTATCATTTTTAGTAAACATGTTTTTACTAAACATTGTCTTACAGCTGCCTACTCCCAGGCAGAAGGGGAAGTGGCCAGGAACTTATTGTATCGTTTTTAGTAAACATGTTTTTACTAAACATTGTCTTACAGCTGCCTACTCCCAGGCAGAAGGGGAAGTGGGTCTCTGCTCAAGGTCTGGTGTTCCCACAGAGAACCCCTGCTCTAGCCAGCTCCCTGCCTGTGTCGTACTAGGCACTAGCTGTGCTTTCTGGTTGGAGGGACTCCTGGCCGGGCCTGACTGTTCTTCCCATCTCCGTTCTGAACCGCCACGTATCCAAAGGAGAGTTCCCGAGCGTCTGTGGAACTTACAGTAGTCTGTGATAGGCATAAATTGCCATGCAGTAAAACACAAGGTCCTTGCCTTTTTTGCTGTCTGTAGTGTCTAGACCTGTGCCTGGATAGCACGGTCTTCATCCGGTATTTCCTGCATGAAGCAATGATCATCTTTTCCAGTGCTCAACAACAAGGACCCATCCAACACCTGTGATGAGGAACCTCCATCTTTCCCACCAACCACAGCCCCAGTCCCCTCCCATCTGCCTCTGGGAGTTGAAGTTTTGGACTGTGTTAGTGGGTACGCCCTGCCTTCTGGCTTATTTGAAACCAGTTAGGGGAGCACTGGCTTTCACTTTCATCTGGGAAGGAGGAAGGTGGGATTGAGGTCAGTTTCACTTGGTGCCCCCTGGATGACCTCTGACTGGTTTTCTGGGGTCAGAAAGTCTCAGCTCCTGTCAGTCGGTGGGGCTTTCCGACTGGTTTCCCTTCAGTCCTGTGAGATCAGGGGATGAGGCCGAGGGGAGGGGAAGCTGTTGACTGCCCGCCTAGTCTCTTTGCTGGCTGGATGTTAGTAGAGGTGGTTGGTGCTCCTGTCCTGCAGGTACAGCTGGTGACAGTGTCCTTCCTGGGATCTGAGTCCTTGTTCCTGCTTGTGGCATGCCTTGAGGTAGAAGTAGCTCCAGGCAGCCCTGGTGTTGTTTTCATTTCCTCAAACTCAGCCTTGTAAACAACACTTTCGTTGTTCCTGGGATGTGTGACTGGGAAAGCAGCAGCGGCTAAGCCCAGTTTCTGACAGGTCTGCTTCTCTTGTGGTTTCTACTGTTTACTTTTGCCCCTGTGCCTGGTTCTGAGGAACCTGTCTGTTCTATGTTGTGAAAGGCTGGACCTGTTGCCCTCCTGACAGAGTACTGCCTGGAAACTGATAAGATTTGGACTCTGCTCATCTTGTGTCATTCCCAACCATTCCAAAGGCGTGTTTTTTTTTCTTTTTTTGAATTCAGCCCTGTTGTTCCCATGAATAAGGTGTCTAGATTCCTGCGGTTTAGAAAAGAATAGACATGAACTGAAATAGAGAGGAAGACTTGCATTGCCTAGTTTGGAGGCACACTACTTCACAGTCATTTTCCATGGATCTGAATACATTTGTTCTTCTCATCTCTGTAGCTATTGAACACCTGCAACTAAATCCTCACACACAACAGAGGGTCTCCAATCTTGTGCAGATTTTGCTAGTTTGAGCAAGCGAGGATGGGGTGAGCTCTCATAGGATCCAGAAGCTTTGGGTTGGGATGGTACCTAAACACCATTGCTTCTTACCCCACATCAGTTTGATCAAATGTTAGGTTCAGAAACTTGTGCAAACCTTGCACATTATGCTTAAAGAAGGTAGGGACCGGGAAGTAGTTAGGTGTTTTTGAGATGGTCTGTCTGACTCTGACTAGAGTTCACAAAACATATTACTTCTAAAAAAGTATTTAATTAAAGAGCAAAGCACAACCCTACAGTTTGGGAATTTAAGTGGCACTATGACCTGCCTGTCCCATATCTACCACACCAGATTTGTGGCCTTTTATGGGTCTCAGGTTTCTAAATAGAACAGATACTTCATGGCTGTCCTGGGTGACATAGTGTATCCCTGCCAGGTGCCAAACTAAGCATTGTGAACTTTTTAGAGTGCAATGGTTACATTGCGCATGTGGTACAGGGTCACCACAATGTGGCAGGGCTAGAAACATGATTTACTGTGATAGCAGGGGTGTGTAGTCTGTTCCTTTGATACCTGAGGAAGGATTCTAAGTAGTGTGTTGGCCCTGTTCATTTTTCTGTTGTGTCTCAGCACACTGGTGCCAGTGAATGGCCCCCAAAATTAATAGACATTGTAGCTCTTACAATGGCTGTCAGACAGGTGATCATTATGACCTTCTCTGACTCCCACGCTCATCCTGTAACATCCTCTGTGTATCAAAAGATAAAAACAGCATGCATTTTGATCTCCCGTGCCTTCCTTCCTCTTCTCTGTCTCTCTTCCTACATATTGCTAGAACTCACCCCCCCATTTCCATTTCCTGTGGTTTGCAGATAACCATGATGCAGTCCTGAGGTTTAATGGGGCACCAGTAGCCAACTTCCAACAGGATGTGGGCACGAAAACTACCATTCGCCTGATGAATTCTCAGGTAAGAAAGCGTTCTTTCCTGCAGACAGTGCACGAGATGGAAGCGGCTACAGCCTGGGCCCCAGCGCTGAGTGTGCACAGCAAAGCTGTCAGCTTGGCTCGGTTAATTCAACACCTCCTGGGTTCCAGATACGTCACTGACGAAGGGACACTGTCCCCTGCCAACCTCATGATGTGTCTATAGTCATCTCGGATAGTGTGCTCTGATGGAGCTGCCTAGGATCTAGGGAAATGGGGTTCTGGTTTTCCTTGTACCCATGCAATTGTGCCTGTAATTTTGGCCAAGAGAAAACAGAGCATAAGGCATCCAGGGGAGAAGTGGGGAGAAGGTGGAAGACTAGGCAAAGTAAGTAAGGATACGCACAGAGTTCGAGGTGGCTATAAAACACTGTGCCAGCATAGGACATAGCACCAGTGCCACGGGAGCCTATATATAGACTGTGTACCAGAAGCCATGCATTACTTCACGGGTTTCCTAAGTCCTTCCCTAAAGTATTTCTGAGTAGTAGACATGCTGATTTGTCAACACCAACGGGAACTTTAGACATGTTCTTGCCAAAAGTTCTGTTAATATGCTTAGTGATTAAAAACAGAATTGTACACAGCCTTTAGACACGCACAGCACTGTGCACATGCTGCCCCAGCTACTCAGGAGACTGAGGCAGGATTAAGATTCCATCAGTAGGTAAGGAGATAGAGAGAGAGAGAGAGAGAGAGAGAGAGAGAGAGAGAGAGAGAGAGAGAGATTGATTCTGTGCTGGGACTGCCAGTCTAGCAAACCTTACTGTTGGTAGTGATATTTGCTCCTTCCTGAGCAAACACAGGAGCCTTAGCTGTTCCCTGTGAGTGTGTAATCTCTGTCTGCCTCTTAGGACTCTAGGGCCTGGGCAGCATCAGAAAAGCCCTGCCAGCACTTTGCTGGCATAGAACGTGCTTCCTCTCCTGCAGTGGGGCTGAGTGTGTCCACATCAAAGCTGCTACTTGATTTGGTTTCTTGACTTCCTGAGTCCCAGCTACATCTCTGAAGAAGGGACATCCATTAAAAAAAGGAAGATGGGTACTTCTTTCTCTTCACTTTCTGACTCATGGAACATCCAGCTGGACCCCGCACCACTTCCTGACAGTGTCCTTCTGTTTGAGACCACAGTGGAAAGAAGGGGGGTCAAGAAGCAGAACTGCTATGCATGCAAGCTTATTTCTTGGTTTTGTTTGTTTTCCTTGTAAAGCCTTTTTTTGCGGGACAGTATCTTGCTATGTTGCCCAGGCTAGACTTGAACTCTCAGTTCTCCTTCCCTTTCTAGTGCAAAGAGTTATCTGCTTGAGTCACCATGCCCAGTCTTAAACCTTCTTGTTATTGTCATTTCAATTTAAAAACAGCCAACACTTTCTATCCTGGCAGCATCTGGTGTCCAGATGTCTTCAGTGTCTCTGTTGTTCCAGATCTACCTTCTCCCTCCCTCCCTCCCTCCCTCCCTCCCTCCCTCCCTCCCTCCCTCCCTCCCTCCCTCCCCCTCCCTCCCTCCCTTTCTTCCTCTTTCGTTCTTTCTTTCTTTTTTGTTGTTGTTGAGACTAGATCTTTCACAGGGATCCGGGGCTGCAGACTAAACTGCACTGGTTTACTTGCAAACCGCAGTGATCAGTCTCCGCCTCCCCAGCACTGAGGTTACAAGAGCACGCGTTATGCCCAGTTTTTCTTGTAGGTGCTAGGAGCAGAGCACAAGTCCTTGTGCGCGCTCAGTAAGCATTTTACCATCTCCCGAGCCCCACAGTTTGCGTTTTTATATCGCTTTGGTTAGCAATAAAAGAGATAAATCATTTGGTTAATAAGATTCTCTGAACTTGACTCCAAAAGGGACTGGGTTTGGAAAAAAATATGGGCAGGGAGATCTGTCTGAATAAGAGACTGGCAGGACAAACACACAGGAAGTGAGAGATTCTCCCTAGCTTGGCTGGCCTAAAGGAGGAGGGTGGCAGAATTCAGGTTGCCTGGTAGAGCGTGATAAGGCTGTTCCCCAGCGGCTCAGATGACCATGTCTAACATTCTGATATGGAGTTAGGGTCTTTTTCCGCCTTCTAAAATCTCCTTATGTTTTACCCTTACATTTCACCTGATTTTCTTCTCATGCCCCAGACACAGGAAGCCTGAGCTGGGAGCATCTTAGGGAGCACTGATATCTATCTTCTGCTCTCATGTGTGATGAACTAATAACTTTGCATACATACATCCATTCATTCAGCGAGTGTTTTAGAGGATTAGGTACGTGGTAGCAGTCACTTCTTGGCCTCTGAAGTTAGTTTACCTGAGGGATTGGCAGGATTGCTCTATATTTCACTAGCAGAATCATCATGCGTAAGTTACTCTCTGAAGAGGAGAGTAACAGTCTTTTCCTCACAGTTATTGTGAAATACAGATGAAAAAGTGGGAGGTGCTTAGTATTAGGGTTTTGCCGCAGAAGAGTACACTACACAACAGATCTCACACGAGAGAGGGGCCAGGTGTGAAAGGCTGCCCCTGAGCAGGAACAAGAGGACAGAGAAATGGCCTGGACTTTATAAAGGATCCACGATTGATGGCCACAGTGGAAATGGGTGGCATTTGGTGACTAATGGTGACATGGCTGCTGGTGCTGGGTCACTGAAGGCAGGCAGGGGGAGGGGCACTCACCTGGTTCTGGAATGTGGGCAGTTCCTAACACTTAGGACAATCCTTGGCATGTGGGTCCCTAACTGTTCTGACTATTTCTATCAGAGCTGGGAGTGAGTGTAATCTCTCTCTGACTACTGGCAGATAAATTGAGTCTCACACAAAGGAGCCTGAAGTTGCAACCCAGAACTTCCCCGGGGTGGGAGGCGGGAGGAGCATGGAGCTAGGAGAGCCCTGCCAGGGAGAGCCCTGCACTCCAGGGAAGTCAGGACGTGGCCACAGCATGGCTGAGACCCTGAATGACAGCCTGCTAAGGACGTGGAAGGACTTGGGAAGGTTCCAGAGAAAGGTAGTCAGACTGCCAGGATCCCATTCACAGTGTGTAACTCGCTGCCGTCTATCTGGTGAGAGGAATTGTGGTGCCCAGAGGGACACAGTTAGGAGGGTCCTGCTGCCTGTAAAAGTGCTTGCACCAGAGTAGAGAATACATTCAAGGGCTACCTGGGGGGGGGCACCCGGAGGGGCTCAGTAGATTAATGAAGTATTTTAAGTACACCAGTGTTGTTTTCTCTCAAATAGTTATTACTTGGGGGTCATCTTGTCTACCAGGAAGACCTTTGTTTTTCTCAAGAAAGAATTACTGGGGGCTGCCCCCTTGAGTGGCCTGTGAGAGGTGTGGTCTTTAATATGGGATTGTTAGGTTAGGGTTGTCTCCTTTGTTACAGGAATGGAGTCTAATGGCAGGTCAAGCCCGGTGAACAAGGCATTTATGTCTTTTCATCCTAAGTCTTGCTCTGACAGGCCTCTGTAAAATACTGCTTATCCAGGGTGTATTTTGGAGGCTGTTCTCCCGTAGCTGAATTCTCCACTGTGTGTGTGTGTGTGTCTCAGTTAGGGTTTCTTTGGCTGTGAAGAGACACCACCACCACGGCAACACGGGTGGCTTACAGTTGAGAGGTTCAGTCCATTATCATCACAGTGAGGAGCATGGCAGCATGCAGGCAGTCGTGTGCTGGAGAAGAAGCCTAGAGCTATGCATCTTGATCTACAGGGAGCAGGAAAAGAACTGTGAGCTACTGAGCCTGGGCTTGAGCATCTGAGACCTCAGAGCCTGAGCCCACAGTGACACACTTCCTCCAACAAGGCCACACCTCCAAATAGTGCCACTCCCTAGGGACCAGGCATTCAAGCACATGAGTCTGTGGGACCATTCATATTCAACCACCACAGTGTGACTTAATGTCTGCTAAGCAAGTCTGTGAGTAAATCCTTTATAATATCACTTCTATTACTCTGAGTTTCTTCTCCATAACTATGACCAAAACACTTACAGGGAGGGGCTCTTTCTAGCTCACAGTTTCAGAGGGTTCAGCCATGGTTATTTGGCTCCTGTGCTTATCGGCCGGCTAGCTGTGGGAGCATGTGGGGGAGGAACCTAACTCCATAGTTGACAGGAAGGGCAGAGCTGGGACAAATGGTTCTTCAAGGACACTTCCCCATTTACCTACTTCTTCTTCTAGACCCCACCTCCCAGAACTTTCAGAAGCTCCCCAAATAGCACCACCATCTGGGAGCCAAGCTGCCAGCATATGAGCGTCTTTTGTAGCTACTTTCTATCTAAACAGTGACAAGGGAAGGATGACACCCTACACTTCTAGCTGGGGTTTATTTAGGATGTCTTTTAGGTGTCTGTAGAGAGATGTCAGGTAGGCCTTTACCCGAATAGGAATGGAGTTCAAGCAGCTGTGGATGGGAGAGTAGCTGGGACCTGTCTGCATTTATGTGTGGTAAGGAAACAATGGGATTGATGAGAGTTCCAGAGAGAGACAGAGACAGAGACAGAGAGGAGAGAGTGAGAAGGGGGATCCTACCAGAAGCTTAGCTAAAGAAAGAGAGGAGATGAATATGGATCTGTATTAGATGCTGTTAAGGGGCCAGTTCAGGTGAAAGGCTGAGTAGCGTCTGCTCTCTTTAGCAAGAGTTTTTGGTTTTGGGTTGTTTTGTGAAGTCTGGTTCTATATGACAGGAGAGAGATGGGGCTTGAAATGTCCAGGGCCAGTGCATAAGTGTTTGATGTCAGCAACCCAGACACATGCGTTTGTGTTGTTTTGGTATACCTGAAGAAAGACCTGAATAAGTAAAGCTATATTCTCCGCCATCAGGGTTGTCCCATACAGAGCAACTGGGAATAGCTCCAACCTCTGATTTGCTTGAGATTTTAAAGGCAAACACCTCAGTTGTGTGAAGAATACGGAAAGGTGGCTGTGGACATCTGCAGGAAGCAAGCATATGCTGTTTGCAGAAGTGGAGCGAACCTTGCATAGAAATTTTTGGCTGGTCTGCGTGACCAGTGACCA